CCCTGTATAGCTTCATTTGCTGACAGCCCCTCTCTAAAAGCCCATTTGCAGGCACTGCAGATTGTCCAGAAAGAAGTCTGGAAACCCATCGCCGCTGCATACCAGGAACAGCTGAACCGACCGGTGGTGCCACATCCGTTCCAGATCAGAGACACAGTTTGGGTCCGTCGACATCAAACCAGAAACTTGGAACCCCGCTGGAAAGGACCCTATACTGTGTTGCTAACAACCCCGACGGCACTCAAGGTCGACGGTATCACAGCGTGGGTGCACGCCTCCCATGTCAAGGCGGCCCATCACGACGCAGAACAAGATCAGACTCCAGCCTCCTCATGGAAACTCCGTCGCACCTAAAATCCACTAAAGATAAGACTCACCCGGGTTTGATATTCTTTCTCTTCCTGTTCACTCTGTCACACTCCAGTCCCCACATCCCTGTAAATTCGACTTGGGTCCTGCTAGATGGATTTGGTGTCCTTCTTAACAAAACTTCCAAAATAGCTCCCCCGTACACTTGGTTCCCTGAACTAAGTTTTGATCTACCTCAGGCCATGCCACCCGGGTCCTACGCCAGGCGCATCGTAGACGACCAAAAAACACATTTCTACATGTGCCCTTCCCCGGGGAGTAGCCCCTGGCGACTGCAGAATTGTGGAACTAGGAACGACTTATATTGCGCCGCGTGGGGATGTGAGGACTTCGCCACCAGCTGGCTACCAACCTCAATCGGACTCCTCCAGCTCACCAGGGACCCCAAGTATGATAGATGTGGGTATGCACTCAATGTTGATGACCCCCGTCCTGTACCCAAACCCTGTAATCAGCTCATCCTTACCTTTACCGATAAGGGCAAAAAGTATAAAGAGGGATGGTTGCGTGGAAAAGAATTCGGGTTGCGCTTCTGGAAAACAGGCCGCGTAGGAGGAATAATGCGCCTCCAGCTGACTCTTGATAAACCCAAGGTGCCTGTCGGGCCTAACTCGGTGTTACCAAACCTGAGAGTCCCCTCCTCCCAACCTAAAAAATTACCCATTCCGCCTACAACCATGCCCCCTAACAAAACTCCGGGCCCAGCCAGTCTAGGCATTCCCACACCACGATTTCTCCGATCGAGTACAGGTGATAGACTGTTTGGTCTAATACAGGGAGCCTTCCAGACGCTTAATTATACTGATCCTAGCAAAACCCGAGAATGCTGGCTATGCCTGGTCCCAACTCCCCCTTACTACGAAGGGGTTGCAATAACGGGGAACTTTGTAAATTACACCACACCCCCAACATATTGTACTTCGACCACCCAACATAGGCTAACTCTATCTGAAGTGTCTGGCCGGGGAACCTGTATCGGGTCAGTTCCCAAAACCCACCAAAAAATTTGCAACTCAACCTCCAGGATCCACCCAGGCTCCTATTACCTAACGGGCCCCAATGGGACCTATTGGGCTTGCAGCTCCGGCTTAGCACCCTGCGTATCTGCACTAATTCTCAACCAGAACTCTGACTTTTGTGTCCTCATTGAGCTCTGGCCTAAAGTTGTCTACCATGAACCTAAATACGTCTACAAACATTTTGAGGGGATCACCCGGTATTCTAAGGAGCCTGTATCTTTGACTTTGGCCTTAATACTAGGGGGACTCACAGTCGGGGGTATCACAGCAGGAATAGGGACTGGTTCTGCTGCCCTGGTAGAAACTACTCAGTTCCAACAACTACAACAGGCCATGCATACCGACTTGCAAGCGTTAGAAGAATCAGTCAGTGCTCTGGAAAAATCCTTGACCTCCCTTTCAGAAGTAGTCTTGCAGAATAGAAGGGGGCTAGATATCCTCTTCTTACAAGAAGGAGGACTATGTGCAACTTTAAAGGAAGAATGCTGCTTTTATGCTGACCATACTGGATTGGTAAGGGATAACATGGCTAAACTCAGAGAAAGACTCAGACAGAGACAGCAATTCTTTGAGTCAGGACAAAGCTGGTACGAGAGATGGTTTAGTCGGTCCCCCTGGATTACCACCCTGATCTCCTCCATTATGGGTCCCCTAATCATAATTCTCCTGATTCTACTAGTTGGGCCTTGTATCCTAAATCGGCTAGTTCAGTTTATAAAGGACCGGCTCTCCGTCATACAGACGTTAGTGTTAACCCAGCAGTACCATCAACTCAAGCAGCTAGAGACGGAGATTGACTCACTAGACCCATAGAATGAAGGATTCCATTCTAGGCTAGAAGAGAAATGGGGGAATGGAAAAATAAAAAGCCCTAGCATAATGCTGGCAACACTATTTTACAAGCAATACAGGGTCAGAGGCAGGGCAGGACAGGTGTCCAACCACAGGGTATCTGCGGTTGGGCGCCTGAAACAATCGGGACACCCAAGATAAGAACCGGGAGTCTTTCCCGCCTTCTCTGAACCGGCTACGTGACTTAGCCCACATCTGCTTTCCCGCCTTCCCTGCTCCAAATACATAACCTAACTATGGCTTTGTTCAAATCCCCCAATCAGATCCACGTAACTATGCTTCTCGCTTCTGTAAATGTGCTTCTTGCTCCCAAGCCCTATAAAAACCCGTTACCCCAACCGAGGGGCGCGCAGGTCTTCCGAAAGGCTTTGTTGCCCCGGGTACCCGTGTATCGAAATAAACCTCTTGCGGCTTGCATCCGAAGGCTGGTCTCGCTGATTCTTGGGAAGCGGGGTCTCCCCGTCTAGAGAGGCTCTAGCCAGAGTCTTTCATTTGGAGGTCCCACCGAGATCTGAGACCCCCCGCCCAAGGACCACCGACTCCATCGGGAGGTAAGCTGGCCAGCAGAGTGTCTTTTGTTGTCTTCATTCCGTCACGTGTTTGCCTGTTCTATCTCTCAAAATTTGTACGATTCAGCTGAGTCGCTCCGTATTAGGTGGAAAGAGAAGAGGCTGACGAGCCTAAACTTCTCTCCCGCAACTCTGGAAGACATTCCACTAGTGTCTGGGGCCCGATTTTTCGGAGCCCGCCTGTCTGAGAACACGTCCCAATCTGGACTTTTCGGGGCGAAGCCCTTGTCCGAGGGCTATGTGGTTCTCCTGGGGGACGAGGGATCCGGACCCTCTTCGCAGTCCCCATCTGAAGTTTTGCTTTCGGTTTGGCGCCAGAGTCGTGCCGCGCGCTGCGTTTGTGTTACTGTCTGTCTATTGTTCGTTGGATTCGTGTTTGGTGTTAGTCTTTTTGAAATCATGGGACAGTCTCTAACTACCCCCTTAAGCCTCACTCTACAGCACTGGAAGGATACCGGAGACATCGCTCATAACCACTCTGTAGAGATCCGGAAGAGAAAGTGGGACACCTTCTGCTCCTCAGAATGGCCGACATTTAATGTCGGCTGGCCAGGAGATGGCACCTTTAACCTAGACATTATTTTGCAGGTTAAGGCGAAAGTCATGGATTCAGGGCCGCACGGCCACCCGGACCAGATACCCTACATTGTTACTTGGGAAGCCCTGGCCTGGGAACCACCCTCATGGGTCAAGCCGTTTGTCACTCCCAACCCCCCTGCTGTTCCCCCTGCAGTTCCCTCTGACCCTGCCCTACCTCCTCTGTTGGTCCCCACACCCTCTAAGTCTGCCCTCTACCCAGCTGTAACAAAGCAGGCCCAAGGACGTAATCCGGGGGGCAAAAAGACGCCGACGACCCCGGTACTGCCAGCAGACGACGGCTCCTTGTTGGATCTGCTGACTGAAGAACCTCCCCCCTATAGGGACCCAGACCCCGACCAAGAGCCGGGAGAAGCCGCCGCGGCCGGACCTCAGGAGGAACCAGCTCCTTCCCCGGTGGCAGGGCGATTGAGAGGGCGCCGAGAGGCCCCTCCAGATTCCACATCTCAGGCTCTCCCATTACGAGCGGGGCCTAACGGCCAGCTCCAATACTGGCCTTTTTCCGCTTCGGATCTATATAACTGGAAAAATAATAATCCCCCTTTCTCTAGGGACCCTTCTAGACTCACCGCTTTAATCGAGTCCATTTTAGTAACCCACCAGCCCACCTGGGACGATTGTCAGCAGCTGTTACAGGCCCTCCTGACCACCGAGGAAAAGCAACGAGTCCTTTTGGAAGCCCGTAAGAACGTCCCGGGGGCTAACGGGCAGCCTACTCAGTTGCCAAATGAGATCAACGATGCCTTCCCCTTGGAGCGACCTGAATGGGACTTCGCCACGGAGGATGGTAGGAATCACTTACGTCTCTATCGCCAGTTGCTGATAGCGGGTCTCCATGGGGCAGCAAAGCGCCCCACTAATTTGGCTCAGGTTAAGTTAGTGACCCAAGGGTCAGAGGAGTCTCCCTCCGCCTTCCTCGAATGACTAAAGGAAGCCTATCGTGTGTACACCCCCTATGATCCGGAGGACCCTAACCAGGCTACCAATATGGCCATGTCCTTCATCTGGCAGTCTGCCCCGGATATCAGAAAAAAATTAGAGAGGCTCGAAAACTTAAGGGAAAGTACGATCCAGGATTTGCTAAAGGAGGCAGAGCGGATTTTCAACAAGAGAGAGACTCAAGAAGAGAGAGACGAAAGGTTAAAAAGAGAGGCAGAGGAGAGAGAAAACGTTAGAGACCGCAAGAGAAATAGGGAATTTAGCAAATTGCTGGCCACTGTAGTGACAGGGCAGAGGCAGAATAGACAGGACCTGGGAGACTGGAGGGGTCCTCGGATAGACAGAGATCAATGCGCCTACTGCAAGGGAAAAGGGCACTGGGTTCGAGACTGCCCAAAAAGACCAAAAGGGCCACGGAAGCCTAAGCCCCAGGCCACCCTGCTAAACCTGGAGGATTAGGGGAATCGGGGTCAGGAGCCTCCCCCTGAACCCAGGATAACCCTTAATGTGGGGGGGCAACCCATCACCTTCCTGGTGGACACCGGAGCCCAACATTCGGTGCTCACAACCACACCGGGACCCCTGACTGACAAATCGGCGTGGGTTCAAGGAGCCACCGGAGGGAAAAGATACCGTTGGACAACTGAAAGAAGAGTACAACTCGCCACCGGTAAGGTGACTCACTCTTTTTTACACGTTCCTGATTGCCCTTATCCTCTGTTGGGGAGAGATCTATTAATGAAACTCAGGGCACAAATCCACTTTGAAGGGACTAAGGCCCACATTACTGGGCCTCAGGGACAGCCTTTACATGTGTTAACCATAGATCTGGAGGACGAATACCGGCTTCACGAATCTGAAAGGCCTCGGCCGCAAGAAATAACTGTTTGGTTAGAAAAATTCCCTTTAACCTGGGCGGAAACAGGGGGAGTGGGTCTCGCAACCCACCAACCGCCCCTGGTAATCACTCTAAAGGCATCGGCAACTCCTGTTTCCATTAAGCAATACCCGATGTCACATGAAGCTTACCAAGGAATTAGGCCCCACATTTGGAGGCTTTTAAATCAGGGCATCCTGGTGCCTTGTCAATCCCCCTGGAATATGCCTCTCCTTCCGGTCAAAAAGCCAGGGACAGGAGACTACCGCCCAGTGCAGGACTTGAGAGAAGTCAATAAAAGGGTGGAGGATATACACCCTACAGTTCCTAACCCGTACAATTTGTTGACTGGGCTTCCTCCGACGTACACCTGGTATACGGTATTAGACCTTAAGGATGCATTCTTCTGCTTGAGGCTCCACCCTCAGAGTCAGCCTATCCTTTGCCTTCGAGTGGAAGGACCCAGAATTGGGAGTATAGGGTCAGCTCACTTGGACTAGACTCCCACAGGGGTTCAAAAACAGCCCCACCCTATTTGACGAGGCGTTGCACCGGGACCTGGCCGATTTTAGAGTTCACTACCCTGCTTTAATCTTGCTCCAATATGTTGATGACCTCCTCCTGGCTGCGGAAACTGAGGAAAAATGTCAGGAGGGAACAAAGGCCCTCTTGAGGACTTTAGGAACTCTAGGATACCGGGCCTCAGCCAAAAAGGCCCAATTATGCCAGAGGCGGGTTACATACCTGGGTTACCAAATCAGAGATAGACAAAGATGGTTGACAGAGGCGCAGAAACAGACAATCCTAAAAATTCCAGTGCCCAAAAGCCCGAAACAACTAAGAGAGTTCCTGGGTACAGCGGGGTTCTGTCGCCTCTGGATTCCAGGGTTCGCAGAAATGGCTGCGCCACTTTACCCACTCACCAAGCAAGGGACTCTCTTTACGTGGGGAGATGAGCAGCAGAGAGCCTATGCAGCCATAAAAGAGGCCCTGCTAACCTCCCCCGTGTTGGGGCTTCCGGACTTAAACAAGCCCTTTGAGCTGTTTGTAGACGAAAAACAGGGATATGCTAAAGGAGTCCTGGCTCAAAAACTGGGACCATGGAGGCGTCCGATAGCCTACCTGTCCAAGAAACTTGACCCGGTAGCCTCGGGATGGCCACCCTGCCTGAGGATGGTGGCAGCAATTGCCCTCTTGATTAAAGACTCTGGCAAGCTGACTATGGGACAGCCAATAACAATTTTGGCTCCTCATGCAGTGGAAGCCCTGGTCAAACAACCTCCGGGCCGATGGCTTTCCAATGCCCGCATGACCCACTACCAGGCCCTACTACTGGACACTGATCGAGTATACTTTGGCCCTATAGTAGCTCTCAA